GCACTTTTGGTTATGTCTTAATCATTTTTAATCTTATATGTAATATAATCTTAACTTATCAATTAAGACATATTATTAACATAAAATCTAGCTGAGCCCCTATTATTATATATATACATTCATATTTATTTTGAAATAAACTTGCAATTTTTAACGAATGTTTTAAAAAAAATAAAAAAACTGCTACCTAATGTACTATAATTTATTCGCGAAAAATAATATGTACTATAATACACACTTAAGTAAGTGTACGTGTAAATACAAAGTATTTATAAACATATGTATGATCTACACTTATAATACAAAACTGAAAATTAAACGTTCCATGTTAAATCGGCATTTATATTCATTTTTATTGTAAAATTATGTTATAAAAGATAGAAAATTACCATTAAATTTAATAATCATTTGAATTTACATACAATAAAAAATATTTGTATATTTTTTCTTCTACTACAAAAATTAAATTTCTATAGAAAATGGAAAATAAAATAAATGGCAATGTAATACTCGTATTAAAACGCATTTATATAATCTCCATGAAAATAAATTTTAAGTAATTAAAATAATTACATACATATTTTAATTCAATGAATAAATTGTTTAAAAATCGAGTTTAGTATAAAATTCGATTAAAATTAAATGTTTAGTTAAGATGTTTAAAGTTAAAATTAAAGAAACTGACTGACAAAACTCTACAAGTTTTAGTAGGAAGATTTTTTTTCAGCTTACTTGTAAATTTTATTAATTATAATCACATAGTAATTAAAAATCAAGCAGAAAACTCGTAAAACATAAAAATTATAAATCTAAAAAAAAAATCAAATGATCTCATTACAACATATTTTTAAAAAAAAAACTAATTAATTGAATAATTTGTTAATAAAACTTTTGATTAGTTTACAGTAGAGCATAATTTCTTTTAAGGTTTTTGATATATACGTAAAATTAATGATCGTTTTCTATTCTGATGATATTAAAATTTTCACTTGGATAGTTTTTAAATGGAAAAATAGTTAGGAGTTTTATAAATTATGACTCTATAACGAAGCGCAAAGAGATGCTAAATAGCAAATTAAAAATTTTTGAGGATTTGGCGAAATTACAAATTGACGAAAAGAAGACAATTAATTGGAGCAACGCTATATAATTTAATTTTTATTCTATTTTTTCTAGTTACTTCAAATAAGTTTTTTTTGATAAGATTAGAATTTCTGCACAAAAAATCGTGTACTTAAACATAAAATGGCTATAGTGATAACATTCCTAATACTAACTAATGTACTTAGCATATTTGTGTTTTGTCCCTATCAGTTTTTGTAATAGAAACATTCTAAGGATGTAACTTTTTTCGCTACTTCCCTTTCGCTGCACCTGTGTTTGTTTGGGAAATCACACCGATTTCTCAAACTAACACTGGTATGGCCCTAAAATCTATACCACAAAAAGAGAACTGTAAGAAATTGGTATTTATGTAAAAAAACGTATTTTGAAAAATTTGTTACTTAGCACATCTTTACGCTTCACCATCGATGTAATAAAGATGAATTAGGTATAAAAATAAAAAATTTGGTTTACATGCATATAGTAATGTAATCGTTTATTAAACTTCCATATTTTGATAAGCACAAATGAAAACTCGCAAAATAGCTATAAATAACTCAAACGTCGGAATCAAAGCGGACCAAGCCTCAAACACTTTTTAGTTATGACTTTCAAAGAAAATTTTTCTTGCATAAAAAAAATTTTCTCATGTATTTGGGCATTTCATCAAAATGAAATTGTTAGCTGAAATTTAACTTTACTAATAAATAGTCTACAAAAAATATGTTGTACTGTGTAGATGGTGAAATTTATCATGCTGAATCATACATTTTTCTTTCATTAATTATAAATTTGCATAATAGTAGTACATATTTTCATAAGGACATAATATATATATATATATATATATATGTATATTTACATAGTATATTTATTATAATCATAGAGTATCAATTGTACAAGCTATATGTACAATTTGAACTAACTTCTCATATACAATTTAAAAAAAAAATACAATTAAATTTTTAATGACATCTTGTGCATTGTTCAGCATACAAAAAGACTTTTCATGAAACGACAAAAAAATTGAGAGAAAGTAGTAATTATAATTTACTTAAATTCTTCCAATTCAATTTAATCTATAATTATTATAAAGGAAATTTATTTCATATAAGAAAGAAAAATAAGATCCCATTCAGTATTTTGACAATAAAAATATTTTAATCCTTGAGTAATTTTTGAATTTTTTTAATTCCTTCTCCAAAAAATTAAATTTCTAATATATAAACGTTTTTTTAAATGGCTAAAATATGAAATTCAATATTATAATGCATTATAGTGCGCAGCCAATTCCTGACATCTAAAATGCAGTAGATATTACTGAGTGACAGAGAGAGAAATTGGCTTTTCATATTCATATTCAAAAAATACAGAAGCATTATTCTTCGTTTTCGGGCACAATTTTGATATTATTTGATGGTCCCCTACTTATACTTGAACCGTTAACAAATTTTATTACTATTGCCAAAATAAATTATTGCAATAAAAATGTCAAATTTATATTATGAAAAAGCCTTTATTCCTTCCAAATAAATTGATTTAAGTAAAGTTTTTTTTAACATTAAAGCTAAAAAACTCTTAACCTTTATGTATTAAAATAAACTCAAGTTATCCATTTCAAGTTCGAAAAAGTAGTAAAGAAATCATTATCTAGTGTTTTGGATGTTGTGGTAACTAAAACATCCTGAATAATATACTATAAAAGTGTCATAAAAAAAATTAAATTATGAATTCAATAAATTCAGATTGTGCAATAAAATGTTAATATGTTATTATAAAAAAAGTGTATATTAGGTATGCAGGTATATTTATTTTAAATGAAAAAAATGTTTTGACATTTCATCGTTTCCTGTACACTTTAGGTGAAATTATTTATACGGATATGTAGATGCAATAAAATATGTAAAATTTTTACGATCAATTAAACACGTTATTAATTTCCAACTTGAAAAGCGCTTTTTATTTAAATTTTACCTTATATCATTATTAATAAATAAAGTTGGGTCAAAATCAATGGTTTGTAATGTAGCACTTTTCCTTCCAATAAGTGAAAGTACTACTTCTAAAAGCAATCAATTAAATTATAAATACGTTATTAAAATTACTTACATTCATATACGAATATAATATTTCAAGTATTCAATACATTTCGGATAAGAAATGCAAGCAATTCAAAAAATTCTTCAATGCTTGATTTTTTTTTATTTGTATGAAAAGAAAACTCCCTTTTATTCGGAATAAAATACTTTTTATTTTTGCTGATATATTTCGTGCGCTACATACGCACTTTATAAGTAATCTTCGGAATGAAAAATAAAATTTTAAAGAGGCGTTAACATAATGCACAAATTCAAGGGTTAATTGCATGTGTTAAGAAAAATAGCTATATTTTTTAATAGCATTGAATTTACCGTTAGTTTTTTGTATTTATAGAAATTTTGAAAACCTTGCAGTTTCGGAAATATAAGGTGCCAAAAATTCAAATTCAAATTCTTACAGGACGTAGGGTCTAGTAGAAAAGCGACATCAAAAATTTGAAAACGGATTTTACGGATTAACGGCCAATTTTAACGACCCGTTTTGTTTTTTAAAGTTCAAATATTATGTTACGCCGCGGTAGAAGAAGCCAGCCACTACTGTTTTGCGTTTGCAAAATTTGCAAAATGTTAATGGTTTCGTTGCAATAAAGCGTTAGAAATGACATTTTTAGAGTTTTGGTGGCCATAACTTTTAAAGAGGGAGAGGTAAGCAAAAATTTTCTGCTTCGAAAATAAGTTTTTAGTAAAGATCTATATCTATACATGAAATTTCCTACGGACGGACAAAGTGAAACTAATAAGCACTTTTTTTCAAAAATTTTCTGGAAAAGTATTTAAAATTAAACAATGAAATAACACTAACATTTGTAATAAAAACATTTTTTACCTTTTGTAACGCATGAATATTTTGCATGTATAAAAAATTTAAAAACGATCAAAAAACATATATATACGACTTTATTTTCATCTCTTTGACATTAAAGCTAGAATGTAATACTCTGATAACTCGATAAGGATCGTCAAAACCCCTATTGATTTTGTGCAGGGTTTTCGCTAAATATAGATGATCATTGATTTATAGAAATTCCACTGCATACAAACAAAGCATTCTACGTATTTACTACAACCTATGAATTAAGAACTTAATAATTTCTCAAACTGAAGCATTTAATTGTATGATATTCGAAAAAATTCTTAAAAAGAAAATTAAGAAAAAAATATGTACGTTACCCGCAGAAATAATAAATTATAGTTTTCAAATTAACTATCAAATCTCAAGTAACACCATTATAAAAAAATTTCTTTTTTAAAATCGCATGTATAGTAAATTTTCCTATATGGTTTTTATTTCTATACCACATGCTAACAGCCAAAAAATTGTGTAAACTTTCAACAATTTGGTTGATTTCTGTGGAGATAATTTTCATATTTTTCTAATATTTGATTTGATCATTTTACACAAAGATATTTTGAGAATAATCAGCAAAACATTGAATTGAAAAATTTATAATCGGAATTAATAATACGTTAAAGAGTCAAAAAACTTATAAAAAATTAAGTTCGATTGAAAAAAATCAAAGAGTATAAGTGTATTTAAAGCAAAAATAATATTAATCCATAAGCGAAAAGCAAAACTTGTGCTATCTTTTACATGAAAATACTATGAATCAGTTCTATCCATAACATTTTTAGAATAGTGTTGAGTTGGAATAATTTAACTAATAAAAAAAGACCATACGGGTTTTATTTTTTCCTTTATAGTCTAATTGCATTTTTGCACAAAACGGTCTTATATTGTTTCGCATATACCTTCTGTAACATTCTTATTTACTTGAACAATATTATATTGAAACTTACTTTTATGTTAATTTGTGTCATTTCTATACTTGAGGTGGACATTGATGACGCAGTTTTATTTAATGTTTTTATCGCTTTATTCACTATACCACCTGAAGAAGAAGAAGAAGGAAATTTAGGTTCTGCTTGTTCTTTATTTAATTTATTTTTATCATCATCTTTTAAATCTTCTTGATGTGGCATTTCATTATCACTATTTTCAATTATTATTAATTCAGCAGTATTTGCAGTTGAAATTGTAGCAACTGTTGTTGTTGTTATCATACGAGGTGTTGAAGGAAATTTATGATATTGTATTTCATGTTTTGTACTACAATTACTTATTGAAGAAACTGTTGAACGTATTGGGGACGGACGATGCTCCTGTTTTGTTATAAAAATTTAAATTTTTTTGTGTGATTTTTATTTCTCAGAGAAAAAAAAATATCATGTTTATAAAAAGGCTTTAAAAAAACTTACTTGAATATTTCCATTTGAATCACGATTATGATGGTAATTAGTTTCAGTAATACCATTACCATTTTTTTGATTGGTATTCTCGACTGTCATTACAATCTCTTTGTTTTCTTTATCAGAGTCATCTGCGCTTAATTGATTATTTCTATGATCATTATTGCTATTGTTTTCTTCAATATCTATACAATTTGGTGTAATTTCACTTATGTTACCATTAATTATATCAGATATTGTAGCTGTCATAGCACTAGATTTATCTTTTGATACATCATTACTGTTGCTGTTGTTTTTTGTATACAACCAATCTTCATCATCGATTTCATCAATTTCATCATCGTCAAAATCATCTTCTGCTGGTTCGTCATCATCTTCAGTTGATGGTTCGCCATTTATTAACTATATAAAAATATAAACATTTAAATATAAAAAATTAACAATTACACTTTAAATTTAAATTTAATTTCTCTATTGAATATTCTCTTGAACTTACTTCATTTTCCCCCTGTGATGACAAACCAAAATTTGTTTCATTGTCAGTATCCAAATGTTTAAAATAAAAAATGGCACAATTTTTTGACTTTCGATTTGATCGATTAAATTTTGAAGCGTCACCGTTTCTTTGACGTTTGTTATTATTATTATTACTATTATTATTATTATTACTATTATTATTATTATTATTATTAGCATTACTAGTATTATTAATATTATTGTTGTTAATGCTAATGTTATTGTTATTATTACTGTTGTTATTTTTATTATACATTTTTGCTGGAAATACTGGTGTGCTATTACGTTGTGGTTCAATAAAACTATCACAACAACTGCTACTACTACCACTACATGTTTCTAATAAATTTCCATTGTTGCTATTCTCTTCAGTTTTTAAATTAATTTTATTTTTATTTTGATAATTAGTGTTAATACCAATTGAAATTGAATTTGGAGAACGGTTTAAATTTTGTTGATTATTATTTTTATTTGCAAATAATTTTTTTTCCTGTGACAAAATTGGTGAATTGCCATTGCAATCATATACGGTTGTATTTTGAACAACAACAGCATTTTGTTGTAGTAAAGGTGTAGTACCACCACTTCCATTACCACCTACGTTATTATTTGTTAATATTTTATTATCCATTATAATATTATTTTGAATTTTTAAAGTTTCACTTCTAAAATTATTGTTTTTAGATATTTCTCTTTTGAAATCATTTAAATTAAAGAAATCATTTCTAATTTTTCCTCTACTGAATGGTGAATGACTTAGGCGTCGTCTTATAATTGTTGATGTATTACGATTTTTACCAATACAACCGGCACTTAAATTTACACGTTTTTGACGTTGTTTATTTAAAGAAATAATGAAATCAATATCTTCATCAGAACCCTCAGAATCAGCATCAAATTCGGTATTAGAATCATTCAAATATAAATTATTTGATATTTTATTTCCTATTTGAGATGTTTCGGCTGTTGTGATAGTTGTTACGTTGCTACTACTATTAAAACTATAATTTTGCCATTCACGTATAAAATCTAATGAGCAGTCAACTTCATCAATATCATGTATTGTACGGGGTGTTATATCCTCTTCATCATCAAATTCCTTTAAGAACAAACAAAATTGAATAAAAAATTGTAAATTTTTCACGTGTGATACAAATAAATTTTTTAATATTATTACAATTTGAGTATGAAGTTATTTATTACTAAAATTTCTTTAATTATAATTTTTTTTTCTATTTCGTCGACCGAATAAAAATTTTCTTTTCTTTTGGGAAAAAAATGGAAGTTCTACCATTTATTCATTGAAACTTTGTACGCGAAAATCATGTTGAATAAAACCATGTTGTATGAATATTAGAAAACAATAATGATGAACGTACAATATTAAACAAAGAACATTATTTTACCCAGACGCATATCTTAAAATTCATTATTTTGCTGCTTTTTTTCTAATAAAAAAATTTAATATTTATATACATACATTAAATTTTCGTATATTTACTCATAGAGAGGTTGTTCAACTTGTAAGGGCATTAGGCGTACATATACATAGTTCAATATCGTCATAATTCATAAAGTAATTGAACAAATAAACATGAATGCAAGTTGAACCGTATGTGCTTAAATAAATCGCTATGCGCGATCATTTTCTCTTTACAATTTTTGAACTAAGCAATTGTTGTTTGTATTTGAGTTTTATATACGTATTTAATTATAAATTTTTATATAATATAAAAATAAATACGTATACATTGCAAAATCACAATTTTTATCAATATTTGCACTTAAACTTCAAATATAATTTTTTTTTATAGCTTTTCAACTTTAATTTAATAAAAATAAATTAAAAAATCGCATACAAATACTTGTACATGCGGTGTTTATTAATACACTAGCTGACTATATGGCTAAGTACATAATTAAGGTTATAGCATGAAATTATAATCACCTCTTCTGATTTTATATTATAGTCACTATTAACTTCTTGATGATGGCAATAAATATTTTCATCTAATGTATTATCAAATGATGTATGATGATCATGAATAATATTGCATTCTAAATTAGATAGTCGAGCTAATTTGGATACTGGTTCATCATCCGTTTCAGTTTCACAATTTGATAAATAATCTTCATTCGAAATATTCTAAAAATAAAATAAAAAAAAAATTGAAGTCATTTTATAAAAAAAAAATGTTATACAGAGAAAATTAAATAAAATAAAATAATTTTAAATAAAAAATTTGCTTAAAAAAATGTTTAAAATGAAATAATTACATACATAGTTTTTATAAGAATGTAGAAAAATTAGTTTTTAAGTAATTTAAGTTAGCCAAAATGAGAATCAAATGACAGTTTTATAAGAAATTTATTAAGAACGTGACATTTCTTGCACGTTCTTGATAAATTTCTGAAGCAATGTCATTGCCATCTTCTATATTCCTTCTCCCAAAGTTATTCAATATGCAAATTTGAAATCATAAAAATATTGACAGACTTTATTTTTTTTTGATTTTATTCTCCCCAACCAAAAATTTAAAAATTATACACTTAAGAAATTTTCAAATATGTAAGAATATTTTATTTATCCGTTATAATGAGAATTGTGACGTATAAACTCTTTAGTTTTTGCAAATTTACAAAAAATTTTAGACAAACGTCTATATGAAAAATGGTGTAAACGTAAATTATTTATCTAGAAAAAATTCCACCGTTCTCTTCATGGCATTCCACTTTTAAATAGTGCAATTGCAAGTTTTCATATTTTACTGGACCCGAAACAATAAGGCGATTTGTTTAGATTGGTTTTATAGGTCTTTCAAATAATATTTTCATAATTATGTGCAACATTTAGAGTATTTAGAAAAAACAAAATTGCGGTCGATTATGTGGTGGCTACATCAAAAATTTTACTTCAATATAAGGGAGCATTTTGTAAACAACGAACAATGTATGCGCATTCATTATCGTACACGATTATATTATTATAGAATATAATCAACCGAGCACATAAACTGAATGAGAAAATATCGTTCGATTTTTACGCAATTATTGCTTTAATTTTTACGCATGGATTCATCTTGGGTACATTCGCATCCCTTTTAAGCACCTTTTTGCTCATTAAACAAGAACGATCAAAGTGGTATGTAATGTGGTCATGATCATCTTTAGCAGAGTATTAACTAAAAAAAATTATTTTCATTTGGTGTTGTAAATAGGAAAACCAACTGTAAAATCACCGAACAACTTATAGGTATAGTGTAATTTTATTGTTATTTTCAAGTAGACTTACATAGCTGAATGTTGCTGTTGTCTGAATGAAAAATAACTTAATATACATACGTAAAAGTTGTTTTGTAGGATTTTTAAGTCAAAATTATTATTATTTAAGCCAAAATGATTCCTGCATAATACTTAAGAGCGTAAATTTTTTAAATTTAAATGTATTATTAAATGATAATTTTCTTTCTATTGCTATTTTAGCACTATCATTATAATATTTAGGCTTTAACATTCTTTGATATTTTTATTTTCCTATATACATATTTTCGCAATTCAACAATGAAAATTTCAATATGTAGAAGAAACATTTAATAAATAAGTGCATTTGTATCTAGAGGTTTTAGTTTTCTCTGAATTTCTACATATAGTTAAAATTTTGCGTTTTAAGTAATTCAAGTCTTTTTTGATTTCTTTTTTTAATTTTTGAATGTAGCGTGTAATTTAAAACGTTCTGTTTCTGGTACGCCATTTTCTTAATTCTAAAATTATCTTTGTTTCTTATCGTATTTACATTTTATTGAGTTTTTACACTATTATTTAAACTATATTACTTGGCACTTCACACTTTTACTGATCTGATTATTAGATATGAACTCTCAAAAAAGAAAAATGAAAAACTCGTGTTCCAAGTGTGATATGATGAAAGGTGTATAATTATTGTCAAATATATGTGCACCTTTTAAATGCTAAAACGTAATTATGAAGACCGCATAAAACGGTTTGATATAAGAGTTATGTCATGATTTGTAAAGTAAATGTTTTAAATGACGGCGAAACCAAAAAAAAAATTAATGATGTTAGATAAAAGTACTAAAGCAGCATCAGACACAAATTTTGATTAACAGAATTGTTAACTAATATTACATTGTTAACATGCTTATTACTATTTTGTATAAAGGTATACATATGTGTTATAATTAAAATATTTTTTTTATAAATAAACATAGGATTTTGTAAAATCGCTTGTCAGTCTCCTCTTAATGAAATATTTGTTAAGGAAAATTTGGGCACATACATTTTTAGAGTAGCACAAAGAATAGGTAATCAAACCTCAAGTGTAAACTATTCCATTGCAATTAATATTTCAAAACCTACGTTATAATTTATCCAAATAAATTAATATGTTTTACGCACAAAATGTGCATCTATATATTTTCTTTACTTTCGATTTTGAATAGAGTTCGTCGAATGCAATTGTTTTAAATTTCTTGAGTATTGCTAGAACAAATTAATCAAATACAACTACAAGCTTTCTTAACTTATTTTGCAATTCTTTTTATTGTCCAACTTTATTGCATTCAAAATGTCTACAAAAGTGTTCAACAATTAAGTTTATATTTTTGTATCTTACGTTTATAATTTAAATATTTTTTATAAAATACTTAAAAGCATTAGGTTTCTCGATTCATCTGAATACTTTTATATGTTATAAGATATGTACTAAATACAAGTAATTCCTTTTCTCATTATATAACTCACTTATTATAGTTAATTATTTGAAAGTAATTTACAATTTTTTAATAATTGTTAGAAATAATTATTGAGAAATATTTTATTTATTTATAACATAAAATAATAAAATTTTCCAATGGTTTATAAAGTAGCACTTTTCCCTTCAATAGATAAAAGTACTGCTTTTAATAACAATATACTACACTGTTTATTATATTATATACATTACATAATTTACTTTCGTTCGTATACTAGAATATATCAAGTTATTGCATACATTTCAATTTAACGAAAAAAAAATATAAGGTTAATTGCGTGAGTGAAAATAATTATATTTTTTTGATGGCATGTAATTTACCGTTAGCTTTCTGAATTTACAGAAATTTGGAAAAGCTTACAGTTTCAGAAATATAAAGTGCCGAAAATTAAAATTTTACGAATTTTGAGAGGGGATATCTGAATCTGAAAAAAAATTTAACTAAGTTGCCGTCTGAAGAAAAACGATATCAAAAATTTGAAAAAACGGATTTTAAATAATGGTAATTTTTAAAAGTCATTTTGTCATTTCCATTCTCAATTACACTAAATCGTGGTAGAAGAAACCAGAGATTACTTTTCTGCGTTTAGAGAATTTAAAAAAGTTCTGGTTTCTTCACTATAAATAGTCAAAACGGCATAGTTTGAGGGGCTATAACTTTTAGGAGGAGGGCGGATAGATAGACTTTTAGGAGGAGGGCGGATTCTTCTACAAGTTGAACGGTGCAGAAACTTTGTAAGCAGGCACACAGGCAGACGGACAAAATTAAACTAATAAGTATTTTTCTTTCCAAAAATTTGTATTTACAAAAGCTGTATAATGCCGAAAATCAAATGTTTAGTTTCAAAAACAAAAAAGAAAAAAGTGATATTTTACTTCAAAGAAAAATCCACGTTAATCTTCCTTTTTCTAAATTTTTATTTATGTGCGAATTTTTTGAAAATGACAAGTTGAAGAATTTCTCGCATTAGTTAAAAACGTGACCATATTATACACATTATGCACATCATATTTAAATTTTTCATTTATTAACACCCATATATACAATTTGAAAAATCAATCTTTCCTTTAAAATATTGAAATTTATTGTTGTTAGTTACATACTTTTATGGAAAAAAGTGAATTGCACACGATAATGTTGAATGTATCCAAGGAAAATAACACCAAACAAAAATTTATTTTTAAGTTCAATTTCATCATATTTTTGTTTCCATAATTTTATTTTTCTTAAAAAGCTATAATTGAAAATTACTTTTTCGCCATCACGTTTTATTTTTCATCATTCACTTTTTTCTTATTGTGCAAAATGATTTTGTTTTTGTTTTTTAGCAAATTTCAAAATTATTTGTAAATTGATTTGTTTTTTTTTTTCATTTTTTTCTCTCAAAATATTAAGAAATGTGCACAAATTATTAACACCTTTTCAATTCTATTGAAATAGTTCCTTTCCAGGATAAGGAAAATTTTTCAATAACGTGCCTGGAATACAATAAAAATCTCGAATGATTTTTTACAAAAACTGAACATAAAAAACATTTTTAAATTTACTTATTTTGCATAATCAGATCTTTAAAAAGTTTTTGGTGTTTTTTGTGATAGCTATAATTTCCTTATACATACATATATAAAATTTGATTGTTTTATTTAACAAATTTGTCATTTTTCTGTTTACATTTTTATTTTACATAACAAAAATTAATTAACAAGCTTCCTATTTCCATCATCGAAGAAATTTTGTAAACTGTAATATTATAAAAATATTTTTCTTTTTTTTAACATTTTGCTGCTTCTTTGCTAATTATCGCCCGAAAGCTAACAAAAGTTATGGTTATATTATGGTAATTATTATTAAATATAAATTAAATTAATTTTTTCTCTAACTATTTTGCTAATTGGTACTTAATATTTACACGATTTTTTATGAGGAAATTATTGTAAACAAAAATTTTATGTAAATGTCTACAATAAAAGTTTTTCTAATGTCTACGTTAAATTTTTAACATGTTAAATGAATTAACATTTTTTTTTAAAGATAATTTTCTACATAAAACTTAACCATTATCTTCTTTCCATTTCTTGCATTTTAATAACAACGGGAGAAAAATTAAACTATAGCTAAAAATCCTTATTAAAAGTAAGGAAAAATATTACGTAGGAAATTTTTCAACTTGCAAAAATAAAACTTATGATTTTAATTTCCAAGTACATTAAATAAATATTGAATCTAGCTAAATAATTATCTAAGTAAATTTTAGTCATAAGCAGATAAGTGATTATAATTGTAATTAGAATTAAGCTATAGTGTATGTTGTCATTTAATAGATATTTTGTGTAAATCATTTTTACCATGTTTTAAAAATTTGAATCATTAGAAT